GACCGCTTCGGCCGGGGCCGAGGCGACTAATATAATGTAATTATACTGGGGCAACTATAATAGGGCAAGTTTTTTTTTTGGGCTGCTATATTGGTGTTATTATACTAGCTAGGCTATTATATCAGTGCTCTCTTATAGTGGGGTTATTGTATTAAGGCTATTATGTTAGGTTTCGTAAAGGCGGTGTTTTTGTTCGGATCATTCTCTTAGGGTTGCTACGTCCCGTTTTTGGGTGTTGGTGCCCCGAGCTTGCCGAAGGATTCCGTTTGCTTTGACTCGGAGGGCTTCTTCACGCAGAGCAAGACCGCTGCGCGTTTAGGGTTCCGGGTTTGGGTTAGTAGTCCCCGGGATTGCCTGACTAGGTTTTGAGGTTGAGGGGGTTCTTTAGGGGTTCATATTCGGGTCCCTTTTTCATCCAAGGGCTTTGGGTATTGGTGTGGGCCAATACCTGTTGCTCCAACCACGGATCGCCTTGAGGGGTATACCCAGTACCCACAAGGGCATAAGCTACAGGTAAAGTTTAGGGCTCGGTGTTTAAGTCCTTCTTTTCAAGACTATGCGAGGAGTATGCAGTGGACCATCTTCGGGTCCCTGGTGTAGTTTTCAAGCTTCACACATTTGCAGTCTAAATCCTGAACCCTAGACCCTTGTACAAATCCTGGGGAGCACATACGCGCATCGCACATGAGATGACTTCATAGGACACTCGTGATGCATTTAGGGCCTTTGTTGGGTACTAATACATCTGATCTCGGGGTTTCCTTTAGCTTCTTTAGGATACTGGGCAAGTAAGCCTAAGTTGCCCTAACTTTTGAGGCCTATTAGCCACTGAGAGGTTTTGAGGGCTTGTTTGGCCGTACCTCGAGCCTTCTGAAACTCGCAAGGCCCTGCAGTTTCCACCTGTTCTGGGAATTGCTAACTCCCTTACCCTCCGAGGACTCATATTTTAAGGCTTTTAGGCCCAAGGGCCCTATTACGTAAGGTTTTTGGCCTATTTGATGCTAAGGGACTGACATACTTGTCCAGAATCCTTTGCACCTGGTGTTGACAGCCCGAGTTTATGCTCATATGGAAGAGTCACTCTCAAGAAATCATAAGAAATCATTTGTTGCATGCACATGGGCGACGTCCGTGTCATTGGCGGTTGCGCCCGACCCACAGCTGCCCCGGTTGCAATTTAGTGTATCGCTTGCGCTTGGTCTATCATTTTGTGGTCCAGCGCCACGGCACCCGTGGGTGCTCTCTATGAGGTTCTCGCCGCAGACACAAACAAACACGGCTGGTAATTGCAAGCTCGATCTTTACGCAGGTGAGGCATGTACTGCTGGCTTAAGTTCCTGCGGCTTGCCCAGCGCGGTGAAACGGCTGCCAATGACTCAATCAAAAGGCGCAGGGCAAAAGGCCAGGCAGTGGTTGATGAAATTTGCTCCAGTGCTTTCCCATAGAAACAAACATGCGGCTTATCTCGGCTTGACCGAAGCCAAAAACACCCAACTGCGACGACTGGTACCCATCTGAGAGCATGCGATGGATGCAATTTGCATCACTTACTGCTGACGGTGCATCAGCCACAGCAACCCCAGACAGAGGCTAACCGCAAGTCCCTGTTGGTAGAGGTTATGCACGTAAGTCAGGGGTTAACTTCCAAACCACCTTGGTGTGTTAAAGATTGCAAACAACTTATCAGAGAGCATGGGTATTGAGCAATCCTAAATTAAACCCCAACCGTAGATCCTTGGTTCAGATTTTGGAGTGTTTCGAGATGTGTTGTGCTGTTCCGAGTTCCGATCAGCCCAAAAGCCATAACCCTATGTAAGCCCCAAGCCTTCAAAGAAGTATTGCGGGGCTCCAATCAAATCCTAAGCCCAGTATTAGCCTTAAACCTTAGCCTTGGTCCCGAAGCACAAGATTCATGACCCTGTATGAACCCTAATCCCTAAACCCGAAGGCATGTACTGCAGGGTTCCGATCGCCCATCTACTTTCTCCGGATGCTTGGGTTCGAAACGATTGCTATTTGGACTTATGTAGCTTGTGGTCTTCGGATCACAGTTCCTCTTAGGGTTAGGGATTAGGGCTTTAGGGTGTTAGGGTTTTGCTTTGCGGGAATAATAATGTTTGCATTCAAGAACTTCGGTGATCTGAGTATTTACGAAGTTTCAGATCGGCATTTAGGGCTGGGCTTTGGGCTTAGGGTTCAATCTAGGTGCTTCAAAAGCCCATCATATTGTTCCAACTTATATATACATACATTATTGCCACACACGCACACGCACAATACTCTATCCGTCTATACCCTGAATGCCTTCCTAGCACGTGTGGTCGGCATTGTGGTTCCGACTTCACAGGACACGCGTCCAGGCCACCCAGCGATTTGGACGCGACCAGGTGCCTGCTTGTTGCAAGATTGTCCTTGTCCCTAACTGTTTTATCACGGAAGTAGCGGAGGTTGTGTGATCCGTTGAATGTGCGGATCCTACCTAGATTCTCTAATTTAGCTCTGGTGGACCTATTTTTGAGAGGCCAGGTATCGAAAATACATAATTTCATTAGCCCTGCCACGCACTACATACTGCTTTGAGGCACAACATACTATGCCCAAAACCCTAAACCGGTCACGCGACGAGCCTTAATTTGCAAAAGCCCTTGTTCGATCATCCAAATGTGTTCTAAACCGCCCCTACCCCCCTCATCCCCCACAGCCCAGTCTCCTTGCCTAACGCCTACCTGGGACACCGTTTATGGTAAATATACGCCCCTTTGCTTTTTTACGGTTTTTTACGCTCTTACGGTCTGCTTGTGTTTTTTTACGCTCTTTTAGGTTTCCGGGGGTTTTGTAGATGCTATGCTTCGTCTTACCAGATTGGAGTCGCCCAAGGTTCAAGGTTTGTACCATAATACCATGCAAATCCCTATAGGTGCCTTATAAGGGTCGCCAAAAGTTCAAGGTTTGTACCGTAATACCATTTAAATCGATCCCTATATAACCTTAGAAGGGCTAAATTCCTTATAAAACCAGAATCCTCCCTAAAATCCTATACCCCTTACACCCTCGACCCCGCTAAACCCCTGCTATATATTCTAAACTCTAAACCCTGCACCCCAAACCCCCTATTATAAACCCTAAACCCCCAAAACCCCTGAACCGTAGAACTCTAACTCCTCGGCCCGCCCAATGTTTTGCCTGCTGCTGGCCGACTCTGCAGTGGCGAAAGAGCAGGCTGGCCCGATATGGGGTTTTCAGAACAAACAATTAAGTCGATCGAGGTTATGTAGCCTAATCATGTTCTGGAGGCACTAGCCTCACCCCAGGAGCCCCATATGCTGAGCCACAGCAGCCTGATACCGTCTCAAGACACGACTGTGAACTGTTCTCGCGCTGACTCTTCGGCTGAGACGCGCTATCTGTCCAATATAATCTTCGCACATACTCGTACAGTTCGTGGTTGGGTTAAAAACCAAAGAGGTCTTGTCGTCCAGAGCGCTATTTCGAAGCTCTGCCACCACATGGTGCCAGTAGTGCAATTTTGGCACCAGGTTAAATAGGAGCCGCTTGTGATGCACACTGTGGTTCACGAGGTGGCTGTAACAGCAAAGGAACATATATCCATCTTCGGCACATTGTAGCGCCGTGGATTTCTCCATAAATATACTCTCTTCATAGAGGGTGCGCATGCAAACGCCGATAGACGCAGCTCCTTGACGGAGGTATTTCCAGGGTTTTTCGGTGTGGGGGACCGGCAGGTTCTCGACAAGCCAAAGCAGGAACTTCATGAAAACCACAGAATCTGACCCTTTGCTCCAACTACCAGATGCATAGGCGTTGGGTGTTTTGGCACCAATGAGGTCCAAAGTCAGCCTTTGTGCATGTAATGTGGTCTTCGTCTCTCTCAGATACTGCCGCAGCTTCTGATTCATGAGCTGCATATTCTGGTCCATGGAGGTTCCACCACAGAAAGGCAGGAGCAAGCATAGCCCACTCGCAGCATACTCTTTGTAGACACCCATATTCAGAATATGAAAAACGTCGGGTTTCAGGAATTCAGGCTCGTTCGGACTGTGGGGGATTGCTTTCAAGATTGTAGGCTTCGTGCTCCAGGGGAGTGGGTTCTGTGACCCCGTAGATTGCATCCAGCGAGCATCTTTGTCAAAGCACTCGAAATCGAAACCAGGGCTGCCTGCGAGGCACCAAGGGCAACAACCAGCGAGGATTTTGGATCGAGCATTCGGAGCCCTCTTGCGCACTCGCAAGAATGATCTTTCCAGCCCTGTTGCCTTTGCATGGAAGACTAAGTCCCCCTTGAGACCCAACGGAAGAAATCTCCAAAGCTGCCCGTTGATCTTGAAGCCATTCCTGGGATCACGGCTTAGAGTTTAGGGTTTAGGGTTTAGGGTTTTAGGGTTTAGGGTTTAGGGTTTGTCAGGGTTTAGGTTTTTGGGGTGCTTGGGGCTGGTAGAAACCTAAACAGGCTTGCACTTGTTAGAAATTAAACCAAAACCCCCCTATTCACACTATAGAGCTGATTCTGAAAAGAGCGCCCCGGATCTCATACAAGTCCCCGAACCATTCGGAAACAGCTTCGAGAAGCTTCAGCAAGGGAGCCGGATCATCACTGTAGTGGCGCTTATGGAGCACACTGATGAGAAAACGAGTCTGAAAGCTGTGCCCCTTGAGATTAATCTCTGCTGCATTAACCTCTGGCAACACTTTACGCTTTCTCGTACTCATCCTGGTGCCAGCTCCAATAGCCGGTTGCCATTGCAACACCATAATCTCGGATTTCTTGTAGGTCCGGCCTCCGTCGCCGTGCAGATTCAACGGAACCAGATAAGCGGGATCTACCGCACCCGACTTGATGTCGCCCACAATCGGATGATCGTACTGATTGCAGAAATGAGTCCAGAAATCTTCCAATTGTATAGTTGCAGATTCTAAAGGCAAACCGACCACAGAAGAAAATTTCTCCAGCTCACAAAGTTCAGCAATGAAGTCTCGGGGTCTAAAGGTTGGGTGCTTCTCGAGCACCCCATCACCAATCCTCAAGCTTGTATGTGGAATATTCACTAGCATCCCAGTAGTAAGAAAAGCTTTGTAGACTCCATCCTCCTCGTGACCCTTCGGTACATGAATCAGTTTGTCGGCTGTGGGACACAATACGTCTCCATCTTTGCTGGAGGCGACGGCACGATCCACGATGTCCTTGGCTGGCACCTGGGCAGCAAAACTTGCGCCGGTTTCGGGGTTCGGGCTTTATATGTTCAAGGGAACAGAATTCAGGGGGCCTAAACTAGTTTTCGGAGGGCCTTGAAATGGAATTTGTAAAATACTTCAGGCCCTGGAATGCACATTCGTACACAAGATACCGCTTTGGTTTTCTTGGGGGAACAAGGCTGTCAAAAGGGCTTTGAATCCTAGTCTAGAGGGTTAGTGGGCAAGATTTGACCTTTGGTTATGCAGCTTTGTAACTTGGAATTCAGCTTATGCATGCACAAAGAATTGAAATCTGAACCTTCTACGACTCCATGAAGCTTCTCTTCAGCTTTGGATGCGAGAAGATCATGCTAAGACCCCAGCACCTTTGCCGTAGCTAGAGACGTAGTCGCGGGTCTTGTGGCTGGCATTTTCCAGATGCCACAAACCTGGCATATGATCTTGATCGGGACTGAAGATGGAGCCGGTTAGGGTCTGTGATGATCGACATGTGTGATAGCTTGCTCATGTGCAATTCTACTGTAACTGCTCCGGATCTGCACTGCATGGCGAAAGTGGCCACATGCACACATCACTTTTCTTCCCACACACACACACAGAAGCTCTAGTCCATGAGTCTCGGGAACCTGGGCCAAATTGGCTTTCAGTGTGATTCCCTTCACACTGATCTTCAAACTGAGCTCAATCTGTATCGATCGGGCTTCCCAGCAAAACTAACAGCATCAGGCCTTAGCTTTAGACTTAGCCTTAGCTTTGGCCTTCTGCTTGGGCAACTTCTTAGGCTGCGCTTCCTCCGTCGGCAGCGATCCCGGCTCTTTGCGCTTCACAGACCTGCATCGGCAGTCGGGCGGTACAGGGTTTCGGAGAAATTATGGGTCAATTTGGGTTTGTAGGGTCTTGTGGCTAGGGCATCATAAGATTAGTCTACGGCACCTTTGGTTTGAGGTTGTGCAAAATACCTATAGCCCAAATTTCCGGGTTCCAGATAGCAGTTGAAACAATATTGTGTAACATGCTAGTTATAGAAAAGACATCGCGCTAGGGTTGTTCAGCAGTTGGTTGGGATATAATCATAGGGGCTGAAATCATGGGTTCAAGCGGATTCCCAAACTATCCTTAGACTGGGGAGGGCCTTATAAGGGTTACACAGGATTTTAAGTGTTGCACATTAAAGCTTTGGGTCTAAAAACTTTTGGGTGGGCATAGCTTGCACTTCAGATGATGTCGGGTTGCAGGCATGCAAGGAAAATATTGGTAGATGGAATGTACAAGATACTCTAGAGGACCTGGGAAATCTAGGAAACGGCTTTTAGATCATAGGGCCGCAGGGTTTCCAATATAGAGGCCATGACAGGCACTTCGAGCACACCGGACCCTGAAAATCAAACCGAGCCCGTAGTATCCGAAGACTTACACCAAACCCAGCTTAGACCCAGGCGACTTGTTCTTGAGCTCGCAGGACACTGCCAGAACACACCTCGGGTATTGCAATATGTACAATCTTGATCGATAGGTTCTCCACAGGGCATCTGCTGTAGCTTAAGTTGCTAGTTTCTGAGCAGTTAAGACATGCGCTGGCGCTTCACGGCCTTGCGCTTCTCCTCTAGCTGCTGCTCCAGCCTCGCCAAGCAATGCAAACCATAGCATTATTTGTGAACTGTCGTCGTAATGTAAATTATCCAAGTCCCTATGGTGCAACAGAGAAACGTGGGGCTCATACCATTGACCTTCACCTCTGCCTGGAGTCCGGCCAAATCATCATAGAGCGTGCCCAGTTTCTCGATGCACTCTTCCATGCTGACGATGTCCCTGAGCTGCTGGACACTGCTGGGTATTGGGCTGGGTGGTTTCCGTGTCTGGGATTGCATTAATGCAGGAGGAATTCGCTGCAGCTCCGTTGTCTTTCTTGGATGCAGCTCCGCTGTCTTTCTTCATCTTAAGAACCAGCTTGTCCAGGTTCTTGCGGGTTCCGAGGGCCTCATCCATGAGCTTTGCGATAGTATCAGCCTCCTGTAAAAACAGCACAAAAAGACTCGATCGAGATGAACCTCCTATGTACAGAAAAGTTGTCCTGGGAGTTCTCACGAGAAAGCCCCGGTGCATCTGACCCAGCCATAGGAAGCTCCGGCATTGGAGCATCGCTCAATGCTGAAGATATGAAGCCCTCAGCGCCGGTCACGTCGGCCGTGCGACTTTCGATGATGCCGTCGGTTTTGTTGGTTCCACGGGAACCTTCGGTTCGGAAGTCCACCCAAAACTCGAGCTCATCCGCATCGTACTGGTTCTTCCTAGGTTCGGAATAGGGGTTTAGGGTTTAGGGACCCTAAACCCTATAAACCCTAAACCCTAAACCGGAGAAATGAAACCTTCACTATAGAGCCTCTGATCTTAACACTGACCAGGCACAGCTGTCTAGAAGATTGCCCAGTATACATGTATCATGCTACATTTAATGTGCAAAACACACATGC